TCCTGGTTTTAGTGCTAGTTTAGGCCTGGTTTAGTCCTAGTTTAGATCTGATTTTAGTCCTGATTTTAGTCCTGATTTTAGTCCTGATTTTAGTCCTAGTTTACCCCTAGTTTAGACCTGGTTTAGACCTGGTTTTAGTCCTGGTTTAGTCCTGATTTTAGTCCTGATTTTAGTCCTGGTTTAGTCCTGGTTTACCCCTGGTTTAGACCTGGTTTAGACCTGGTTTTAGTCCTGGTTTAGTCCTGATTTTAGTCCTGGTTTTAGTCCTAGTCCTGGTTTAGATCTGTTTTAGTCCTGGTTTAGTCCTGGTTTTAGTCCTGGTTTAGTTTTAGTCCTGGTTTAGTCCTGGTTTAGTCCTGGTTTTAATCCTGGTTTAGCCCAAAATGTGAAAACAGGAAAATCCCGCTGTGTAATCCATTTATTTCAACAAAGTAACTGTAATCCAATTACCACTCACTGAAACAGTAACTGTAACTGAATACAGTTACTCATAATTTGTACTCTGATTACTTAACTCTGGTACATGTAATCTGTTACTCCCCGACACTGATTTTCCAGCAGCTTCATAAATCTGCCCCATCACCAAATCTTCATCCAACAAGTTCGACAAAAGATCAAAGAAGAATTTATCCACAACGATCAAGGTAAGAAAGACAAAAACGTAAAGACGAACAACGACGACGCATTAGTGAAACGACTTCTTACATTATGGTCGTGAATAAAACATCAGTAACTTGTGAACTCAGACTGATTCTACAATTAAAATTAAAAATCAATTTCATGATGTTGATATTTGCACAGACAAAGAGATTTGTGCAGTTTAAATGTGACACATGTAAATTGTGAACATCTGCACAGATCTCTGTCTATGCCAGGGGTGTCAAACACACGGCCCGGAGGCCAGATCCGGCCCTCCAAGACTCTTAATCTGGCCCTCGGCTGATTTTCTACCAAAATATTTGAATTATATTTTCTATTAAAATCTTGTTAATTTTCTGTGGTGTTTATCACAGCAGCGTCTCCAGCGTCTCTGTACGTGGCCCCTCCCACCAGAGCAGCACAAATGAAGACTTGTCTCTTTCCAAACGCTCTTAAAGGACGATCGTTTTGACTGTTGACCGTGACACCCTCATCAGAAAAATGTCCAAAATGAGAAAAGTGGAGCCGAGTGCAGAATTTTCCAAGAAATATTTACTTATTTCTCTTTACAAGTTCAAACGTTAAAACATTGTGTTGAAATCACATTTTTCTTAAAGTTTCAGGTTGTTCATAATATTATAATATTTTGGAAAAGAAAGAGTTAATTAATTAAAAAAGATTTCTGTAATAGATTTGCATTTCTCTGCACAAATATTTGAACTGCTATTTCTGGGGTATATATGGCTCTGGACTCAAAGTAGGTTGGATACAGCCTCCAGACCAAATTGAGTTTGACACCCCTGACCTTATGCTAATATCTACAAGCCTGATTCATCAGACGGTTTCACTTCGTGGAAACCATCTGACCTCGCAGCATTAGGATTCGTTCGCTCGACTGTAGGTGGGTACTTTTTTTTTATTTAACCAATCGCTGCTGTTTGGTCGTGACGTATGTAATGCGCCAAATCCCATAGAAAGAAGGACAATAACGTCTTTCCCCTTGATAAAATTCACCAAACATTCTCTTTGTTCCGGCTTTAAATCCTCAATCTTGGGAATCGTTGCCAACACAGAATGTCTGTCTTCGTCTACATCCATCTCGACGCTTTGTTTACTGTTGTGCTGTTCCACAAAAGGGACACAGACAGACGCTTGAGTTTGACGTCATGGCTTCACAGCTCTTCACTGATTGGTCGGTGTGCGGTCTACAACTTCCGTGGTTCTTGCAAATCATCTAGTGTATTCTGATTCCTGACCTAGTCTCTGGAGAGAAATTAAATTGAACGGAGGCACTAGGTCTCACCAGCCTGGGTAAATATCTACATCATGAAATACATTTTTAAAATTTTAATTCTAGAATTTTCTAGTTCACAAGTTACTTATTAAAGAATTACTTGTGTTTATGTTTTATTCATGATCATAATGTTAGTTTTGCTCAGTAGTTCACGAATGCTCGTCGTTGTTCACTTTCACATTTTTGTCTTCTTTACCTTGGTAGTTGTGGATAAATTCTTCATAGACAGAATCTGTTCTTTGTCGACATTGTTGGATGAAGATTTGGTGATGTGGTAGATTTATCGTCAGGCTGG